CCCGTGAAGTATTCGAGACCGATCACATTCCTCGTTACACAAGTCTAGAAAAATGCATTTTTAAGTAGCCGTTACTACGCGCCCCTCTTTAAATTATCCACAAAAAAAAAAAAAAGACAATGTTTAATCTGTTTAAAAAAAAAACAACAACAAAACAACACAGTGAGGATAGAAATACAGTTTCTAAGTGGTAATGGAGAGCTGAAGAACACCTCTGGGCCCATCACGGTCGCAGGCTGGTGGGGTGAGAGGGGGACATGGCCTCTCCCATCCCCACTCCGGCTGGGTGGTGGTCGGTCACATCCAGTGACAGCATCAGGAGCCACTTAAAGTCGTGCAGCCACAGGCTTCTGTACAGGTATCCTGGCGTCTTAACAAAAAAAAAAAAAAGCCAAAAGGTAAATACTTATCATCAAAACGCTGTAAGTACCACTCCATTTAAACTACTTTTTTTGCTTTATTTTCCTTCGGCATTGGGTTGCCTGAAGGGAGAGTCAAAGCTGCAGTCAATGACACCAGAAAAAGCACTGTGAAAAAAAAATACTATTAGGATTTTTATACAGATAAACCAAAGGAACTACACTAAGGAAAAAAACACTGCATTGAACTTAATGTGCACTGTCCAAAGTAATTTATAACTTGAGAAGTTCCTTCAAATTAATTAGAGAACGCTTACCAAACATGTCCAGGATTTTATTAACAGCCTCTTGATTTACATTGTAGGTGAATCCATTGGACCTACAGTTAAAAGAAAAAAAACTTGTTTCTTTAATGAATATTTCTTATTCCAGTCATTCCTATACAACTAAGCTGCTAACTGTGTTCTGCGAAACACTCGACAATGTGGGGACTTGTTGTATCAGGGACTTCCACGGTTATACTTTTAAACACAGTAAGAAGCACCATAACACAAATTAAACATTTTCATTATTACATCATATTTTTCATCCATCCTACCAGCATACATATTAATTTTAAGGACACAGCAGACTTCTAAACAGATTGTACTCAAGGACAGTTACTTTTTCTTTATCCTTCCTCTCGTTCACAGTCCCCATGTCTCTCTCTTCCCCTGATTTTTATTAGGGAGAACTGTAGGAGAGAACGTTTCTTTGTTTTCAGTCATGTGATTTTCAAGACTATCTCTCTGAAACTCAACCAAATCTTGAGCTAATGTCAAATTCTGTTGCACTCAATTGATTTACTCCTTTTACATGAAACGGGAATATTAGCTATAGACATCTATTTAGCAGAGTGACATGGCAGGGGATGTAACAACAACAGTATTTTGTGCACTTTCCAAGAGCACTACAAACCTTAACCAATTCATTTCCTGAACAGAGGCATAAGAAAACAGCTCAGGGTCATCAGCTGCCAACTGTGTTCTGAGAAACACTCAAGACAATGTGGGGACTTGTTGTATCAGGGACTTCCACAGTTATACTTTTAAACACAGTAAGAAGCACCACAACACAAATTAATTTGATAAAAGGAAATGCATGTCAGCGTATTTGTGTATAACAATCGCTGTTTTCTAATCTTAGGCTTACATGAACTGCATTAAAAGACTTTAATGACTAAGCTTTCAGTTAAATTGCTTTGAGATGTCAGTGGTGAAATCCCACAAAATTAGTAGTATTCTTGCTTATTGCTTACGTTGCCTGATGAGGCTTATTGTAACACACAGAGTAACCCTTCTATTAAAAATAAGCAGGACGGTTCTATTTGCTTGTCAAAGCCTTGGGAGAAAATTTGAAAACGAAAAAGTAAAGGGAGTCAGAAGCAGCCTACTAGTGAGTTAATGGATTTTGTTGCTAGGTCCCACAGGAGTGTTTTCACTATGAGGGGGTGGTGCCATTCTGCTTCTACAACGTGTACAGAAAGGAACTATCTTCAAATCCAATCAACCTTCAGTTGACTGGTGCTCGGGCAGTCAGGGTTCTGCTGTTTGCTTCATACCAATAGGTCAGTCATTAAGAATTGCCAGTAAGACCACACATGGACTTCTATACACCAAAAAGCCAATGTTACTTACATTTTCTTCTTCTTCACTGCACCTAGTTGCACAAGAGCTGCTAAGGCATTTTTCTGCATGTCAGAAGATAGTGCTTCGTAACACTGCATATTCCCTACGGAGAAAGCAGAAACACAATTAAAAGTTTTATCACTATCCATTGACAGGCTATACTTGTAAAATTCTATTGCATAATGGCTGTACACACCCTTCTCGAGAAGTTGAAAAACAAAGTTGCGAACTGCAGGTATAAACTGCTTCTCAGTAAAGGCTTCTTTTGTTTCCTTTGAGAGGTATCTGAAAATTAACTAACATTTACAAAAAAGTTAGCACTTCTTTTCTTTCCGTTGTCAATTTGTTATTAATTACAAGCAAACATGCAAGCATAAGGAAGCAACATCATTGCGCTATGAAAAGTGTAGGAGAGGAACTCAAAAGGTATCATTACATAGAGCAACTGAAAATTTTATTGCTGTTCAACAGGCATGAGAACCCTAATATTAAAGGAAGACTCAGTATTACTATAATAGTTACCTTAGACATCAATTTAATACTCCTGTTCTCACATTCAAAAACAGTATATTTTTTTAAAGCAATACCTGTTTTACAGATGGGAAAAACTGGGCAAATCAGTACAGTTCAGCCCAAGTTGTATACCAGATCATTAACAGATTCCACTAGGTTCAAAGGTCTGCATTCCCACCAGTTACGCTGACATACCAGAGATTTTAGCCTCCTATTTTTATATACATTGCTTATTACAGGAGCATTAAGTGTTTAGTCCTATTAAAAACTTGGAAAAACAAATAATTTAAAGAGATACAGATTGAATTAATGACTCCAAAGAAAAAGTTATCAGATATGAGATACAAACTCATTTCCGCACCTGGCAGGACAGCCCACATAAAATTAATTAAGCAAGAGCTCCTCATAAGATGGAACAATGAGCCTGGTAGCAGCACACTACCCATGAAGCTTATAAACCCACAATGGGCCATCACATTACAAGGTAGTTACTGCTTTAGTCAATTGGAAAAGTCTGAGCCAAAAGCTGAAATCAGGATCCTGGTGGGAGTGTGATGTTTAAGATATTTGTTACTGCTATTTCTCAACTCTTGCACTCCCCAGCCATGAAAACAGTCACTATTTATACTACAGAAGTGTCACAGCTCTCCTAGTTTCCCTATAAAACATGGGAGAAATGAGATCATTTTCCAAAGAACAACATACCTGATAACCTTCTACAAAAGGTCTGAACATAGCTGACAAGAAAGATACTATAACACTTCCTTTGTCAGTAGGGTAGATTTCCTGTTGAGTTGTGTGAATGGCATCACATTTTGTGAGTAGAAAACATCCTTCCTCAAAATCCTGGGAAAGAGAAGCACAATTGAAATTTTAACATCTAAAATAAGTGCAGCTACCTTTCCCCACAAAATCAACAACAAAACCCATGCAACAGCACGCCGCTTGCATTTCTGATCTCAGTTCTCAAGAGACTCGAACCAAAGTTTTCCTATATACCAGAAATCCCACTGCCTTTTTATAAGGGTAATGTATTGTTAAACACAGCAGTACCTAGATGCACAAGAGGCCTAGGAGCAAAGAAAGCGGCTGTGGCTGCTATTGTAACAGCCAGCCTAAGCTCCCTCAGGATTTTCTCAGAATACAGTCAGGTTGTCTGGTTTTGGTTTTTTTCTGTGGGTGGTTTTTATTTTTTTTTTTTATTTATTTAAAGCGAGGGTTTGCATTTCTCTCATGTCCACTGTTTGCAATAAATGATAACGTAGTTCACTGACCTGCCCTCTACGAAAGAGACAACACAGTGGCCAAAAGTTACAAATTATGGACATGTCAATGACAAAACCACTTTACTGCCAATATTGGTGTGTGGGGGCGGGATGACAGAGGGGCGGGGGGACACGGACACAGGGATGAGACACAGGACACACGGGGATAGGACACAGACATGACAGACACGCGGATAACCAGAGGGGTGGGTTGCTAAGATCTCCCTTGACATTTTATAGCAACTCTTTCATTTGACTTCAGTAAAGGCAGTCATAGCCAGTCACCTTCCTGGTCCCTGCCTGGTTTTGGTACTTAAAAAAAGCTGCAAGAGGCAACGATTGCTAACAATGAAAACTAAACATAACGGTGCCAATCAGCCCTTAAAAAAAGGCCCAATTCTCTTCTATATGAAAATCTATGAGATTTTAATACAGTCACAAACCTTGAATATTCTTATGAAAATTATCTCCTTTTTTAACACAGAAAAAATCACAAATATCATCATCAGATATTTGGCCTTAGCACTGATAAAAATCACATTTTTAAATCCAAATAAAAACTACATGTGGACTTACCAGTTTATATTGGGCATGACATTGAACTTTTTTTTTTTTTTTTTCCCTCACAAATAAACTTGTGCTCACCTGCATTTCAGGCTGGCTGGACTAGAGCCAGCTCCAACCCAGCAGGCTGTGTACATACTGACACAGCAAGCCCTGCAGAGAGCAAAGTGCTGCTCGCAGTTTTCACAGCTTGCCTGTGTCCAGCTGTGTTAGGAGAGCACACAGACATACAGAGCCCTGTAATCAGGCAGTATGCAGGAACAATACTGGCTTTGTCTGAGTAATGGCAGTATGGGGCAGGGGGGGAAACGAGGGGAAACTCTTTTCAAGCAAATAGGATGCAACTAAAGCGTCCCTAAGACTATGCAAGCAACGCTGTTACGCCATTAGGAAATTTCTCACTTCAAAAACCTTCACAGGCTGCATCGCCTCAACTCTGTAGAAGATTCTGACTGCAGAAGTTTAAATCAGGCTTTACTATAAGCACTTCCCTTATAGTGCTTGCAATGTACTGTCTGAATATACACAAGATAAACGCTAATAATAAAAAGCGAAAAGGGCTCACCATGAACCATCAAAATATTAAAAAATGTTTACTTATGCACAGGAACATCAAAAACTTCAGAGTTCAAGGTATAAGAGGAACATCAGCCTCTGAACACTACAGAGTAGTTACCGCCATGCTGTGCCATCAAGGAGGGGTGGGTACAGAGGCATACACTGGGTGTTGGCAGAGCCCTCTGGTAGCCCTGCCATCACAGACCACACACATGGAGCTACACAAAACAACTGATCACAGCTGCACTAAGAGGAGTATAATCAACGAGAGGACAATAGGTACCTAAATTTAGAATTGCAAACTCTATTTGTCAAAGATAACAAGGGCATGCAATGGTTGATCATTAGTTAGTATAATACCTATAGCTTAACTTTCTGAAAGAGCAGCAGTGCCCCTCCGCTACACAGTCTGCAAGAGCTTTCAGGAAAAATTATCCTGGCGTACTCTCAATGAGAATTCCTGTTTTGTTTCTGTGCTGACAACACACCCACTCTGTAACAGAATTCAGTTAAATCTACTTTAACACTTTTTTTCTTCACAGCCTAAGGTCTCTTTCATAACTGCAGAGGAAAAGGACAGTATTTACACTTCACTTAAAAGACTGCTTTACACATGTTTTTGTATCTGTGCTGGAAGACTGGTAGCTTTATGCAAAAAAGCTAAACTTCTGCTACAGTTCATTTTAATGGTTCAGAATTGGGCAATTTTTTACTGGATGGAAAAAAAAAAAAAGATTGCATACGCAACCTTGTGAATTCAATGTTTTGCAACTAACCAAATGACTACCTCTACACTGACCCCCTTTTAAGTTCTCCCTCCCACTTACAGATCAAGTTGATATCACTGTACACGTTTATCATAAAGCACTTGTTCAGCAGAGCCCTGAAATCAGATGCTACTTTAGTTGGCTGCGTTACTAACTATGAGTATTTTTGTATAAAGGATGTTTTTACCTTCAGTGAAATGCCAGGAAAGAAGATGAACTCATCAGAAAAAACATCTCTCAAGAAGTTGAAGCAGCTATAGACTTCCTCTGAAAAAAAAAATTGTAAAAGAACTGTTGTTTAGAAACATAATTTAAAACATGCAAGCGAAGAGCCATTTACTCCTTAGAGAGAGCACCTACTTCAACATTTGGACTTGACATTAAAAGCATACATATACAGCAGAAACCACTACAACAGAACAGCAAGTACTCAAAGCACTTGATTCAATTGTTACCAAAAGGAAAGAGCAGGGGGTTCTAGCTTCTCAGAACATGCATTAAATACGACATAATCAGATGCTGCACAAACCTATGGCATGTATTCTGAAAAGTTTCTTTAAGAACAAAGTATTAGAAAACACTGAAATACTTCAGAAACAGTAGTGCGAAGAGAAGACAGACTGAGAATTGGCTGCACTGTATGCAAGCGTGAGCTGTGTGTAATTTGTAACTTAAAAAGCTTGTCTGCTAAACATCAACAAAACAAGACACTTAGGAACTCGGACCTGCTCATCTTAGCCCTGCCCTCTCAGCAGACCATACCTACTTTCAGAAGTATCAAAGGGTAAACAAACAAAAAAGGCAAGCAAAATACCTCCATCCCCTCCCAACACACTCACCTTATGCCATGGGACCTTATCCAGAGTATAACGGTCTCAGACAGCTCCCACTAGCAGTCGCAGGAACCTCGTGCTCCTCTCACAGCTGACTGCACAAGGAGCAAAGCCAGCGGGCTCTCAGAGCTACCCAAACGTACCTTTTCTGAAGCTGCGTGTCATCTGCAAGGCAACCGCCACCAGAGATGGACGCACAAACACGTTGAGCAGTTGGTTTCTGTAGGTGGCACACATGAGGATGGCCAGAGCACGCTTAAAGACGATTTCCCCTACGGCTCCATCTTCCACTCCTTTGTCATTTAGGACCACGTGGCCATCGACAAGGCAAGCAATGTTGGAATGCAGGGTGAGGCCAGACATGACTGCTTTTTTGGCACACAGGTTATCTAGCAGGAAAACGCAACACTCAGGAAGATGGAAAAGGGAACATAACTCTGTTGAACCAGCCTAAAGTGCACCAGTATTTAATTAACTTTTATCACTGAAGGCCAATTATTACACCAAACATTCAGTTAGAGAGATGTTCTAAAATAATCCATACCAGGAATTGGCAGCCTAGGCATAGTATGAGATGGGAGAGAACAAATTTCAGACATTTCTTACTTAAAGCACTTTAAATTCTCCCACTTGCTAACAATGACAAATATTTCCTTCGTCTCTGGAACAAGTATTGTGAGCCTCCAAATAAAAGAGGATAGATCTGTTTGATGGATACATTCATCAGTAAGGAAATGGAGACCATGCTTTTGCTTTGGCATTTCTGACACGTCCAAGTTTTGAATCAGATGCACAAGTCTTCATAATGTTTTTCCTCAACCCTCATATACAAGGAAGGCCTCATCCCAAATTAAGTTTAACGAAATCTTAACATGTGTATCATTACATAATACACCTGCTCAAAGAGAAATCAGACTGTACTTAAACCCAAGTCTCTTCTTGTTTCGTAAGACAATCTCTTAAAATGCCTAAAGAAAGGAAGTGTGTGGTTTTGGTGTTCTGTTTTTTTAACAACAAAGTTCTTCAAAGGTAGGCATGAGTTTCACAAACCTGTGAGCTTTGGTCAGGATTTTTTTGTCAGTGTGACAGACTGCAAACCTTATTCAGATAAAGAGCAGCATCCCAAGTGTTGAAAATACACTCCCCTTTTTAGAATACCTTACATTTTAAACACTACCAAAACATCCCCTGCATCAAATGTGAACTCTTTGGCAAGAAAAGAAAGAAGCAATAAAAACTTCTTATTGAACACTAAAATAGGCTTTACATGTTCACAGCACCACAAGCATATCAAATCAATATAGACTCTGACAGAAAAAAAAAAAAAAATCCTGTTCTTTCCTCTTAACAGAGTTCACGTAGAATCTCGTTGCATCTTACTTGCTTCTTCAGCCTACTTTGTTCCAGCTTTGCTAAAGCTCCCAAGTTCCTCAATGCAGAAGCAGAAGTCTGACCATGTCATTTTGCAGTTCCTGTTTTTAATACAAAATTTCTAACAGCCAAGCAAATGTAACAGCCTGTAACAACCAACCAGCATGGCAAAGGCAGAAACAACTAGCTGTTTGGAGACAGAAGAATGGACAGGGTACATATAGTTGCTGACTTGGTAATGTCTCCAAATTAGCCTTTAAAATATATTTATTCTTTCAAATTATTGACAATCCAAAACTAAACAACAAACCCTGTTTCTATGCAACTGATGCCTAGAGCAGGGACAGCACACTCCAACAAAATCTGCTCAGTTATTGTCACTCTTCTATTCCATTACCATGCCTATTTGCTGCTCCCTGACTACACCACAACTCTACTAAAGCAAAAGCTCATTCTTTGTTGCTAAGAAAATAAGCAAAATGAAAAAGCAAACCCAAATGCGGTATGTTTTTCAGTTTACTGTGCAGTAAGATGCTAAATGATGTTTAGATATTGCCATGAAATTCTTCCTTTTACCGGCCTGGCAGGAGCAGACTTTGTCTGCGTTCACTGCGCTGCAGATCCCTGAAAGGAGAAGTGGTTTTCTTCCAGAGATGACCAAGTTCTGTTACAACTGTAGTCTGCTCCTATTTCTTTATTGCAGTACTGAGAGGAATCTTTGATTATACACATGACTACGAAAGCAAAGATCCATAGTTTAAGTCTACCTACTGTGAAAAGGTAAATGTATTGCATTAAACTATTTTTCTTTGCTAGCTTTACCACTTATGTCCTCAGGCTCTAAAATTAATTACCTGTGTCACCTTGGCTTACAGACAGAAGTTTAAAACAATTGTTCAGAAAGTTTGGAAGGGGAATCAACCTTTCAGCAGCCTACATACACACACATGCACATTGTATATATAAAAAAGAGAATGTGTGTGTAAATATATAAATAAAACCACCAAAGAAGCCTTCTCCCCAAAAGTCATCACTGTTTCTGGGGTTAAAGTGAAATTTAAAAACAAACAGACAACTTCTAGTTTTGATTTTCTCTCACCCATTTGTTTCCACTAGTTCTCTGCGACAGTAACAACTTATACATCAGTCAGTATCAAGCAATAAACATAGCATTACACCAAGTTAACTGCTGCAGATCAGGTAATTGCCTGTGACTTACATAGGGTTCAGAAAGAGAGACACTAGGCAAATCTCAGTACTCTAATAGAAGTACCCTATAATTTCCCCTTCATTCCACACTTCGGGATATAACAGTAAAATATGTGTTCTGCTTCCACCTAACTGTTTTTCAAAGTATTATCTTCTACAGGCTAAGTCAAAACCTGTGAGGTTTTAGCATCATTTTTAGTGTATCCTAAAATCCATTTACAACTCTGAGGAAAACATTCTGTAAAGTTGTCACCATACACTGCTTCCACAGAAATATAATTTATCCTTCATAAGCAACAAAAGGAATAGAAATAACTTTCTCTGCATACCAGGCCATTCAATGAATCCTCCAAAAGTCTGTGTTAAGCCTTTAAGCCACAGGGTCTTTTCTAGTAGAAGTTCAAAATCCATGGCAGGCAAATTCTGGAGCAGGACAGCAGCGGCCAGCACCCACGGGCTCAAAACCATGTTTTCTATTTGCAGGAGCTCCATTTTATAAGCTACATCACTGACAAATTCTTGGATATCCTCAGATGGCTTTTGGGGAAGGTGCCTGAAAAGAATAATGGAGTTCAAGGTAAAGAGCTCCAAAAACCCAAATATAAATCACAGTCTTCCTTATTTCTTCTGTATTGCTCCCAGATCCATAACTACTTTACAGCACCTAACAGTTGGAGGGTGATTCTATCTGTGTGATACGTAGAACAGAAGTACAGAGCAAAACATCAGTAGCTTTGTGACAGTATTTGGAACACAGATCTCTGTACACTTGCTATCTTAAAAAAAAAAAAAATAATTCAAAGGCATTGTGTTTTATATAACAAATTGCAAAAGCTACTCAATTCAGTCATAGCTACAGCTCCCTAGCACATGATCACATAACAGTCTGCAGTAATAAAGCAAGAAGGGAGAGAAAGGTGGAATTTTTAAGTGGGAAAACCACCAAATTCTCAGAAAAGAGAGCTTTGCCTGGCTCACGCGTCATCATTAAATTTTAAAATGGCATCTTCTCGACACAGTACAAAGCTACGCAAGTAACAACCTGTTTCAGAAACACCCAATCACAAGCGTGATAAGCCTCTGCTCAGACAAAACAGGTTCAGCGGTCTGAACTGTCAGATGAAGGAGAGGTGAGAGAAATTGAAAACAAAGTACAAGAGAACACCTTAATTATTTTACGTAGGTGAGAACTAAAGAAATGCTTTTCCTGTGCATACACTACAGAAAGATGCGGTACCTGGGAACCAAATTGTATGGGCACCGATTGATTCTCCCAGATGCCAAGGTTCTAAGTGATACCGGCTGGCCAACGTAGATATGTATGGTACCAAAATTGTCACTGAGAATTCTTCTGGCTTTTAACAACCCCTAGGAAAACGGGAAGAGCAAACCTCAAATTTTGGTGCCACAGGGTGTGTATACATCCACCTATGTTCTGTTCTTAAGGAGTTTACATACAGATGTAGATTCTTTGGGCTTTGGGACTCCTAGGAGTTCATATGCATAGAGAGATTCTTCTAATATCCTCTCGTAGCTGATGCTGATGGGAACAAGGTATGTGTCAAAGACTTCACGTTTAAAAAATGGTTCCATCACAATGCTGAGAAGACCTGCAAATTGAAAAAAAAAAAAGAAAAGTCAATAACTTGTATTTTTCAAGGAGGGAAAAGCAACTACAATTTAACTTTGAAAAAGATGTCAAGTTTTAGAAACTGCTAATAGGTGTGCATTGTGCCTGTTCTCTCTTCAAGCAAGCAGAGGCACAAGGCGTTGCCCAAGCTTTAAAACAGAAGGTAAATGTAAGCAATGCATTTGGACAGCTATCTGTGCTCTTTTCAGCAGCACTGCTCCATGCTTGCACAGCATCTTCCTTCTAAAGATTCCGCACTACTTTTACAGTTAGCTTACAATATTTCTCTGCTGGTCAGGGGATGCATATTTTCTAGAAAGAAAAGGGTGAAGAGTTACACAATTAAGTAAACCATGGGGCAAAGGGAGAGAAAGCAGCACAGTGCAAGAGACATGTATTGCTGTTCTTTGTATCACCTTGGAACTCCAACCATAGTGTTTTCCAGTAGTCTGACAGACCTCACCAATTTCCCACCACTTTAACATCCCTTCCTGTCTGAAGAACTAACGAAGCACATAGCCACTAATGAAAACAACAATAACCATTAAAAGGTCCAAGTTTTCAACAAACCTACCAAACTTTGGAGTCAGAGTCTTGGCGGTGCGGCTTCTAGTTCCTTCAAGAAAAAATTCAATTGGGGCATAGCCACTCTTCAAAAGTAAAACAACAAAAAAAAGCTGGTCAGAAAAATAAAAACACTTCTTCTTTACTGCCCACAAATAGTTTTAAGCACTTAAAATGTAAGTAAGGTTTTTTTAATGCAACACATGCACGTCTAACTTGAATTATCTCTAAGACTAACTGTATTTATCCATTGTATTTGCCACACCATGTAGTTAAATTAACAAAATATTGTGTGTGTCAGGAGATATAGGCACAGGATCCAAAGCAACCGATGAGCAGCAATTTGTTTACCACCTACTGCTGAACTATAATAACAAGAGAGTGCATGCATGCTCTTCACCTACAGCAATTCTAAGGTAAAATGCATTTAATCAGATCACAGTGAAGACTTTTGATCACATAGCTATAACATCATGCATATTCCACATGAATCGTTCCAACAGAGTATTTCTTAAGCATACATTTTGAGAGTTCAGTAATTTATTTACCCTTAACATTGTTTTTACATATTCAGCAAACACTGCCCAGTAGAGTCTGTTCCCGCCAAAGGAACGTCGCATAAAAAAGGCACCTGCCCTTCGTAGCAGCTCACCAACTATTTTCATTCCTAGGAAATCTGAAAAACAATCAAAGAAAAACAACTGAAAACAATACACACATGCAGTAGTGTAATAAAGCTGCAAGCCCCTAATTCTGAAGAACTTTGACCCCAAAACTCTTCAAAAAATGTTAATCACTAAAAAAATCCCTCTAAGCTAAACTAATAGTATCTCAAGATACTGTTTTGAATCCCAAAACTCAAAAAGACTCTAATCCAAAAATAAACAAAGGATTACAACGATACCTATGACAGCATGTGAGCAGATTCTGAACAATACGCGACAGGTAAGCAGCTGCAACACCTTGACCAAGGCAGTTATGAGACATCAATTTCTGAACTCATCAGAATCTAACCTACATCACTCAAAGGCAAGATACCACAAAGACCAGCAGAATCTTGTCTTCCCTAGCAAGCACATTCTCCAAACTTCTGCTGATTTGCTACTGGTCTTCCTAACCTCTTGACTGGAAAGCAGAGTAGTATGTTCCCAGTTCTTTGGTAGCTTGCCTGCGTGCATTACAGTGCTGCACCAGACCTGAGGTGGTTGTTTGCCTGTTTAGAAGACCTGGTTGATACCCAAGACTTCCAAAATCAGGTTTCTCAGTTAAGTGCTGCCAGAGCCTGGATTTTCAAAAAGCACATTAACTCAGAACATATTTACCGTTAAGACCTTCAAGAATTGTTTCCCACAAATATACTGGCTTAATCTGCTTTAGAATTAAGTATGCCCAAAATCTTGACCTCTGATGTGAAATTTCATTTCCCAGCCAGCTCTGCTCTCAGCACTTCATGTAACAGAGTTCTGCCAATGCTTCAAGGGAATCAGTTGCATCAGCAACAAGCACAAGGTGGCTGGCACTTCCTATCTAGCTACTATGACTGCACTTAAAACTTTATATTATAAAGTATCACAAAAGGTTCTACATACTCAGTAGCTCTTGGGCAAGTTCCCAGGCCAAAGAAGCAATACAGAAGTCTTCTTCACAATACCTATCACTGCCCCAGCCTTGGGTCTACAGATGGGGTACTTCTGAGCAAATTTGCTATGAAAAAATTCACCCTTGATTGGACTCAGCACCGATAAGAAGCTTTCAGACGCTGTAAGCATCTCACCCAAGGAGGTTTTAACAAGACATATTTGGAACAAAAGTGAAACACAAGTACTTATAGTAGCTGCTACCAGACCCCTTGCTACTGAATCTCTGAATCCTGAAAACATTGTTAAAAAAACATACTTGCCTATTCCTGCAGCAATGACAGGCAAAGCCAAGTCATATGTATATAGCAAATAAGACAGCATCAAAAAGTCCACATAGCTTCGGTGACTGGGCAGCAGTACAACTGGATGCTCCTGAATGGCATGTTGCAACTGCAAGAAAAACAGCACAAACAATATTGTTCCAATATTTACAGACTGACTGTTGAAATTTGCAAATACAGACCTTCACAGGGCTTAAGGCAAACAGAAGCTGATTTGTTTGAGGGTGGTTTCTCTGTCCACATACTCTATACCTTTTTCAGCATGGAACCATAGGAAATCTGAAGCAGTAGTTTCCAGACTAGCAACCTGTGGTTCACAAGCATCACCGCACTCAAAGGCCCGGTGACAGTCTATGCGATATTATGTGATAGTCTAATTCAAATTCCTTTTGGTGTGGATGGGAAACCCAATAGGGGCTGTAGGGACTGACACTGCTGTCTTCCAGGGAATGCACTGCACTCCCTGTGCATCAGGGAGCACAGCGACATCCTGCAATGAAACAGTGGCATCCTGCAATGAAACAGGGGGAAAACAGCTCCCCAGGGAACCGGGACAAACTTAAATCATCTCCTGCCTCGGAGGTGCACAATGTTTCACCCCTTTTTGCTGTATGAAGGTTTTGCAGACCAGCCAACCCGTTCAGCCACAAAAAAGTCCTGCAGGCTGCCTCTAAAATACTTACATATCATCTGTATTTTCTCCCCCTTATTGGGAAATGCAGTAATAAACACAAGTGCAGTCTTTTTTTTTTTTTTCCAAAGGGTATTTTTTCTATTTGTTACTTGGAACGAAGATTAGAGTCTTTGTCCAAGTGACTGGGATGAAAATATAGAATCATAGAATCATTTCGGTTGGAAAAGACCTTTAAGATCATCGAGTCCAACTGTTAACCTAGCACTGCCAAGTCCACTACTAAACCATGTCCCTAAGTGCCACATCGTCACATCTTTTAAATACTTTCAGAGACAGAGACTCAACCACTTCCCTGGACAGCCTGTTCCAATGCTTGAGAACCCTTTCAGTGAAGGGTTATACGCTATTGAACCTCTTTTTTTTCCCCCACCAGTACTCACTCTCTGCATTCCTTCTTCATTCACACAAACTCTCTGGAAAAGCCGTTTAAATATTTTGCTCAGAGTAAAGGCAAAAAATCTGACAGCTCCTAATTGCATACTGTGGCCCATCTCATCCAGGATTTCCATGGCTTCTTCTTGAATAATATCAGGTGATTCTCCCATCTCTTTTGCTAACTAAAGAGAAACAAAACAAACAAAATAGCAGTCAGATGTTGTTCCCTTCTCCTTGCCCATGCATACCATTCTATGGGCCACAACAATTACGGCAGAACGACTGCAATAGTCAGCAAGATTTTATTTTATGTGATAGGCATGCATCTCATCATACAGATTCTGTTCCATGACAGCCAACAAGAGAAAGCCAAGTTAAAGCTGTTCAAAATCAAGGTTAGATGTCAAAGGTGGAGGGAAGCGTGTGCAACAATTTCTCCTCCCTCAAACACACCATCTGAATGTTTTAACCTGTAACATCTTCAGAGGAGATTTAAGTTCGAAGTACATTTCCTGTATTACTGGTCTGTTGAAGGCTGCGTGCAATTTTCTTTGACTAGTTAAATGAAACCTATGTTTGCAGAGATATTCACAACATAAATTTCTGAAGCGTATTTGGGTTAGATTTTAAGACTTGGCTGAAGAACCTCAGCCCTATCATGCTTGAATTTCTTTGTAAGGTATTACTTTGGCAATGGCTAGCTGAAATGCATACAAAGCACTGTCTCTACCAACTTTGCATATCAATGATCTTTTTTCTGTTGCTATGCACATTCCCTTTTGAAGTTTCTTAAAACAGACTTAAATTATGGTCGTCCCTCCTATTTGATACTTTGAATCTAGAAATATTTAATTGAAAAGTTAGTCTTTTACTGGTATGGAAAGAGGAGCACGCCTTTTACTGAACACGGAGGAGGAAAAAGGAGGAATGGCAGAAGAAAAAGCCTCCAAAACAGCATGGCTCTGTTTAGAGGACAGCACTGCTTACCTATTATTTCTATTTTGTGACATACGAGAAAATCCATCTCCTCCAATCTACCTCCATAAACCACCTTACTATCATCTCTACTGGTTCAATTGTGTTTTAATAAATGCATTATCCTTCATCCTGCGTATTTCCACATGTAGCTATAACTGATTTTTTAACAATTTACAGAAGCCAAAAACTGCTTCCATCTGAGCTGGAGAAAAATCAATATCTCTTAGCAAGCCAAAAAATGACTGTCCGTTATTCGCTACGAGAAGAGATACTGTTCTTATTCACCAGTGAAAGGCTTACCACACAGTCGATCCTGTGTGAATTAAGTGCACATCCACTACAGAGCTAAGCACTTACTCCCCAAAATCAGGAACCAAAAAAACAGACATGTCCCATATGGCAAGCTAAAACAAACAAAGGCACTTAATTTCACATACTGAACATTAGTAACCTCAGCAATTTGTCACAAGAACAGATTCTAGTATGCCTGTGCAAAGCTGAGTAAACTCTGCCCAGACAGGAGGCACATTAATTGTAGACAGTTGGGCATATTGCCCAAGGTAGCCTCGGTTAGATACTTTCAGTAATTTCTAGTTCAAAGCTCAGTTGCAACGGTAGGTCTGCTAACCCCCTTCAACCACTTGACCCTAGCCAAGAAATATCCATCAAAAAAACAGCGCTTCAGAAGAAAACATCACACAAATGTCTTTCTGTCAAATCCTCTGTGAAATATTTTCTTTCAGTAAATGTTTTAGTGTTTCTAAAGTTGAAAGATTCTCTTTTTTTTTTTTTTAATACTTCATACTACTTAGCAATTCATGATGGCAACAGGACTACTTTGTAGGACATGGTTTAGTTTGTCACATATAGGTAACATTGACCATTAAAGAAAACAAACAGAAAAATGTTATGGTAGTCATTCCCTTGGGACTAACCAAAACATCTTATATACTTCTACTGGCCTAGAATTATTTTTCATGAATACTGAAAATAGTTACTCTGCTAACTAACACACATTCTTATTTCACTCATTTCAACACAAACTAAAATATGAGCCAGACTGACTATAAAATATTTTATTCATTACAAGGTAGCAGCTGCCCTTCATCGTAAAACAAAAATATGGTTACATCTTAGACAGTGTTTCTAATTCAAAAAATTCTGTGAAATTTAACTCCCATTTTAGGGAAAGTAGCATTTATGACTGATTCATAAATATACCACTAGCCCATAAAATTCCTACAAGACATCCTCAAAGAACAAAAATGTTTACTAAGGAGAGTGCTTGTGTCTTTCACAATGCTGCTCTGTGAAGGAGGAGGAGAAAAAAAAGTCAAGCACATTGGATAAGTTAGATGGTGAAGTGTCGTATATGCAAAGTCAAAACACTATTTCATGAATGACCTATCTAACAGCTTTAGTGGCAACTCCACGGTACATCAGTATTTGCTTATCTTGCCAAAAGAGTACGGCTCTCAAGTTACTGATTTATTGGTTTGCCTTTCAAAATACAGCTATTGGGTTTGACACGGTCAGCAATAATCCTTTTTTTCCCCTGCTGCCACACAAAGCTTGGCTGTGTTCAATCTACCTCGTCTTACAGTTCAGCGTCCAGACTCACCTGCTTGATAACATATTGAACTTGCTCTGACTGGAGAACAGCACTTTTAATAGTGTTTGGCTTGCAAGGTGAAAGTCCTTTGTAGATCACAGGAGTATAACATTTCATCGCGTATCTCAAGTCGCTGGACAATCGTCTTTCCTCCAAGATATCTTCAAACTCATCTCTCTTCTTTGATGTGAGCTCTTTCTGCTGGGAACATACAAATAAAGAATGAGACACTGTCTCGAGCCATTCAGTGGTGGTCTGCTTGGCTACAGTACCATAGTAATAGCATGCAATACTTTTGCAGTGTTTGAGGTTTCTTTTTAGCTTTCTATAGTGTCTGCATTCCACACTCTGACTGCATGAACAAGTATTATCTGCTTGGAACAATGCTGCAAAAAGAAACCAAAAAGAAAAGGGAGGGAAAAAAACCCAACAAACCCCTCTAACCCTTTCCAACTGCAAAGATCCCCAAATCACCCTATGCCACGTGTTACTTAGTTCTGCCCAACAGGCAGAAGTTGAGAGAACACCTGGGCTTTGAAAGCTGAAGTGCCTTGCCTCCAGCCTCTCCACGATTAATAGGTATTAAGTAAAACACCTTTGATTCCAACTCTGACAGCTGCATGAAGACAATGCCATGAATGACATTATAAAACCACAATTATCAACACAAAAAAATAACTACTTTAAGTTGCATCTAGGACCTTGGTCATTTGTGCCAAGCTTGGACATAAGGTACATAAAACACTGCTAGGCAGGAACAAACAAACAAAAAAAACCCCATTATCAGCCACGTGAAGATCAAAATGCAATATGGTGCACAAGCAGGTAAAAAGAGAGCACAGCCTCTGAGTAAGCAACACCACTGCTAGGCAGGAAAACAAATGGCTCATGAAGAACTAATTGTGGATCCATCCCGCTGCAGAAATCTCAGTGACAAAACTCTTCCCCTTGAGCTGGCAGGCACCCCCTGTGTCAGACAGATGTCTCCTATTATCTCCTATACCACCACAGTTTGTATGAATGACCCATCAGTCTTTCCAAAACTGAAATAGCATTTCTCTAAACTTCAAAACAACAGCAATAGCCACCAGATAAGCAAGGCAACTGGAGCGAGCCTCTGTGAAACGCAAATATAAAAGTATTGGTTATGATCAAGCATATATATTAGAAGAAGATACTAAAAATAAAAATGCTTATGTCTTCCTCTACAGCACCACTTGAAGGGTGGCACAGGCATCCCTTTCATTCATTTTGCTTCCTCTCCCTCTGTACAACCTGTGCAGAACCAGTCTGATAAAAAAGGAAAAACCATGTTGTTTCACGGGCTCTTTCCATGACCTTTTCTAGTGTCGAGAAGAAAGCCTGGCCAGCGAACACATGGGAGAACACCAGGAACAGATAAGCAAAATGCCCAGCAGCGGCGGCTTGGGTTTTCAACCTTGGGAGAGAGTCAGGTTTCACTGCCAGCTGACCACAGCCGCCTCAGCAACACTATCAAAGCAGTTGACATTTAAAGCAAGCAGAGAGCAAACATTTAGTTCATGCCCATTCATCAAAACAAGATGATTTGGCAAAATGAAACAAAAAAAAAAAACCCTCAAATCGGAAATATCTCCACTTAAGAACCACAAAAAAATCCTTCAAAGCCTCAACTGTATCGAAAGCTGATTTCATTTTATCAAAGAACACAAGTCCTACTATAAAGTTTAACCTTCTCATATTCTTTTCCCCACACAGTACAGTCAAATTTGGATACCATCCTTCCACTACAGTAGCATTTGGTAGATTATCTAACTTTTCTTTCCAGTACTGTAGTTCAGAGAATTGTCCCACAGTAACTGCAGAACTAACTCTCCAGGGATTTTTAAAACAATTCTATAAAAGGTATTAGACCCAGGCCCGTCTTCACTTGTAACTTTTAGGGTTTTTTTTTCCTGTGTGGTTTAGCATTAAAGTTTCCAATCTTTCTTCTTCCACAGCTTTCAACTAGTTGGTGTTTTCCAAGAGCCAAGTAAGCTAAGAACTGTTAAGATGACTGGAAATAGTTTGTATTAGCCATCTGTTGCCACCGACACCTTATATCGACCCCCTTGATTAAAAATAAAACAGAAAATAAAATCTCTTATGCTCTGTAATAGCAAAAAGAAAGCTCAGAATAGCCTCAGAAAACACTAGCTGGCTCAAAGTATACAGCCACTTAGATCAGTTTGTGACAAGTCATTGCTCAGAAAATCTAAGCGACATTTTATGTCAATTACCAAAGTTTAAATCCTGCACTGCGCAACTGCACGAAGCCCAGACAAAGAAACCCAGCACTCAGCGCGGGTCTCATCAGCCACATCAGCAGTCACCGCGCTGCTACAGCCGTTCCCCAAAACAGTTCTGGTGAGCGGAGTTTTGCAAAGGCCACCGCCAACTGAAAAGTCACCTCTCTGCCACTGCTCCTCATTCAATGTTTCCAGATTTGATGTGCACCTGATTTCTCTCCATGGCAACTGGCATTTTCACGCCCTGTCCTGAAGTAGCGCTGAGGGAACCAAAACACACACTTCACCAACCACTAAAGAAGAATAACGCTGCTTTTAGACGTGACAACCAAGCTGTTGGTTCCAGCTCCCATTGCTGACTGGTAGAGAGCACGTTTAGAAAACACGCTGTTGGAAAACCTTGACATCAGAAAATCCGGCGATGCGCACTGTTACCGCAACGCTGGGGAAGCACAAAAGCTAAACAGCAGGAGCCTGGAACTCCTCTGCTTCGATGTAACCTTTGAAAGCAATAAAACGATGGTGCTCATGATGCGCTGGGGCATACCAGCGTACAGTCAAGGAGACACAGAAGTTCGGGAATCTCTGCCAAAACTGGGAGCTGTTTTCCCCCTCTCCGAATGCAAGCAGAAAGGGGGGTGGGGGGGTTCAGCACCCCGCACCCAAACCTCCTTGTCTGAGGTTGGCATAGGAGCTGCAAGGGGAGAAAAAAAAACCCAACACAAAGTCAATCAAGTAACTTCCACTGCGTAAAACGAGAAAACCCCCTGCA